CCGCCGCCGAGCCGCCCAGCAGCCGAGCCGCCCACCAGCCGAGCCGCCCTGCCGCCGAGCCGCCCAGCAGCCGAGCTGACGAGCCGCCGAGCCGCCCTAACTGTTGAGCCGCTGCTGTTCCTACCGGTGCTCCCCGGCCCTCCTTCCTCGGACTGGTGAGCTCACTTCCTGCTAGGCCACTGCAGTCATGGCTACCCCCAGTGTCCTACTTTTGATGCTGAGGGCCGTGCCGTTGACTTTGAGGTCTGGGTCGATGACCTCCAGCTGTTTCTCCAGTGCGATAGGGCAGACGGACTCTCTCTGTTCGATCTCACCTCTGGTGTCTCTCCTCCCCCCGACTGCCACTGTTGACAGCACTGTTCGCTCACAGTGGGCCACACGCGATGCTGCTGCTCGCCTTGCTGTGCGTCGCCACTTACCGACCACTGAGCGTGCACACTTTAGCCTGTACAAGAGTGCTCAGACCTCGTACGACGCTGTAGTTGCACGCTACTCTTCCCCTGCCACTGCTGCACTGAGCCGCCTCATGCTACCGTACCTCTTCCCTGACCTTGCTGCCTTTCCCACAGTCGATGACCTCATTACGCACCTCCGCACTAGTGACACTCGCTACCCGCGCTGCGCTTCCTGCTGAGTTCTGCGCGCCAGAACCCCCCCCCCCATGTACATCACCCTCTACTACATAGTCACCCCGCTCCCTGACTCTCTTCGCGTAGTCAGGGAACAATTCCTCTCAGTTTGCCCCACCACTCTCACCGTTGACCTCCTCGAGAAGGGCCTCCTAGCAGAGAAGAGCATAGTTGCTGTAGGAGCCTCTCGTGGTGACCCTCGCACCCCCGTCTTTGAGGGGTGTTCCCCCTCCCCCCTCTTGCCCTCTGTTGCTTCTGCTGCTGCGGGCCGACCTCGTTGGTTTCGAGTCGGTTGGCGCTGCGTCTGCCCCTAGCGGGAGACGCCGCACTGGCAAGGGCAAGGGGGGCAAGGGCGCTGGAGGGGATGGCGGGGGCGGTGGGGTGGTGGTGGAGGCAGTGGAGGGGGTGGGGGTGGTGGTGAGTGGTGGCGGGGGTGGCGGCGGTAGCGGCAGCAGTGGAGGCGCAAGAGGCGGCGGTGGTGGTGGAGGGAGCGGAGGTGGCGGAGGAGGCGGAGGTGGAGGAGGCGGCGGAGGCGGCGGCGGCAGCAGTGGACCTGGTCAAGGCTCTGCGCAAAGGAGTGGCTCCGGTGGTGGTACGCGCCAGCAGCAGCAGAGAGTAGTCGTGAGACCCTGTCCCCTCAGTAGCTTCGTGAGTGGTACGCTGCGTGTCAGCGCGGTGGGGTACGGGTCCCTGCACCTACGTTCTCCGCACCGGCGACCGCGCTGGTGAGCAGTGCGGGGGCCTGCACCCTACCCAGCGCTGCTTCGGTCGCCTGACGGACGCGTGCGTCACCAGTTCCCTGGGGCCTCTGAGATCCCTCGCTCGGGAGAGCTGTCTAGGAGGGCGGGGGTTGCTATCTTTGATCTTGATTTTGATGCTATTCTTGCTGCCATGTATGCTGTTGATGATAGTGTTGCGGGTGACTGTTACCTGTGTGTACCGCCTGACCCGGGCATTGAGGCTGCTGCTCTAGGTGCTCGTGCGTCTGCTGCCCCAGGTGCCAGTGCATCTACTGCCCCAAGTGCCAGTGCGTCTGCTGCCCCAGGTGCTGGTGAGTCTGCGCTCTCAGGTACTACGTTGGCTCAGGCCTTACACACCTTCACCCTTGACTCGGGTGCGTCCCGCTCCTTCTTTCGAGACCCCACCACTCTTACGCCGCTTAGTCGGCCGGTTGCAGTCTCCCTGGCGGACCCCTCTGGGGGTCCTGTCCTTGCTAGCTTCTCCACTGTCTTACCGTGCCCAGCAGCCCCCTCTGGCACCCTGTCAGGTCTCTACCTCCCTCGTTCTCTACGAACTTGGTGAGTGGAGCGGACCTACAGGATAGGGGGTTGACTAGTTCACTCCTGCGAGTCAGCGAGTGACCCACTGCACGTGTGCTTGGACAGGCCGACACTTGGCCACGTTAACCCGTCGGCCAGGGTCGAGCCTGTACACCCTTACTACTGAGTCTCCTCCAGCTGCTGATTCTGGCCAGGTAGCTGTGTCAAGTCAGGTGTTTGCTGCAGCGTCCAGGTCTGGTCCTGAGTCTGGTCCCTGCTCGTGTCGTCTACTGTCCCACCAGAATCTCCTTTGGCACCACCGCCTTGGTCACCCCTCCCTGCCTCGTCTCTGAGGCATGGCCTCCCGTGTCCTTGTCTCTGGTCTCCCTCGGTCTCTCCCTCCCCTACCTCCGGGGCCTGGCCCTACCTGCGTCCCCTGCGTCGAGGGGCGACAGCGCGCCGCCCCTCACTCCTCCGAGTTTCCTTCGACAGAGGCTCCGCTGCAGACTCTCTACATGGACGTGTGGGGCCTCGCCCGCGTCCGTGGGCAGGGGCGCGAGCGGTACTTCCTGCTGGTGGTTGACGACTACTCGCGTTACACCACGCTCTTCCCCTTGCGCAGCAAGGGTGACGTCACTGAGGTGTTGATCGATTGGATCCGCGCAGCCCGTCTCCAGCTCAGGGAGAGTTTCGGCTCGGACTTTCCTGTTCTGCGTTTGCACTCGGACAGAGGCGGGGAGTTTTCCTCTGCCCGTCTGGGAGCTTTCTGTCGTGCGCAGGGCATCCGCCAGACCTTCACGCTTCTGGCCTCTCCACAGAAAAATGGGATTGCTGAGCGTCGCATTGGCATGGTCATGGACGTCGCTCGTACGTCCATGATGCATGCGGCTGCCCCCCATTTTCTGTGGCCGTTTGCGGTTCAGTACGCCGCGCATCAGCTCAACCTTCAGCCCCGGGTCTCCTTGCCAGAGACCTCCCGCGCCTTGCGGTGGACCGGGAAGGTTGGCGATGCGTCTGCGTTTTGGGTCTGGGGATCTCGGGCGTTTGTCCGCGACTTGTCTGCGGACAAGCTGTCCCCCCGTGCTGTTACCTGCGTCTTCCTTGGCTTCCCCCCTGACGCGCCGGGTTGGCAGTTTTACCACCCCACCTCGCGTTGTGTTCTGTCCTCCCAGGACGTCACCTTTGACGAGTCGGTGCCTTACTACCATCTCTTCCCCTACCGCACTGGGCCCCTCCCCCCGCCGCCGCTCTTCCTTGCGCCAGGTCCTCCCCCGGTAGACCCCCTCCCCCCTCAGGGTCCTGCCCCGTCAGGTGTGTCCCATGTAGACGCAGTCGAGCCGTTCGAGGTAGCTGTTGACTCAGGTGCTGCTAGAGGTGCTCAGCCTGCGGGTGCCGGGTCTGGGGGTGCTGAGACTGGGGGTGCTGAAACTGGGGGTGCTGAGTCTGGAGGTGCTGAGTCTGGGGGTGCAGAGCCTAGGGTGCTGGGTCTTAGGGTGCGGAGTCTGGGGTTGCGGAGCCTGGGGGCGCTGGGTCTGCTCGTGTGGCCGCCGGCGGTGCTTCGCCGAGGCGGGAGCCGCTCTCTCCATAGGAGCTGAGCGAGTGGTTTGCCCGCCGCTGGGGACGTGCTGCTGGAGCTGGAGGTGCTCCTGTTGCTGCTGGTCCCAGAGGTGCTCGTACTGGCGGTCTTGGAGCTGCTGGGGCCACTGGAGTTGGTCCTGTTGGAGCTGCTGGCGGTGCTGGTGCTGCAGGAGCTGGAGCTGCTGGGGGTGTTGGCGCTAGTGTTTCTACTGGCGCTGGTGCGTCTGGGGGTGCTGCTGAGGCTGCTGGAGCTGGAGCTGCTGGAGCTGGAGCTGCTGGAGCTGGAGCTGCTGGGGGTGTTGGCGCTGGCGGTACTGCTGGCGCTAGTGCTTCTGAGGGTGCTGGAGCTGGCGCTGTTGGAGCTGGAGGTGCTGCTGGCGCTGGTCCAGACGCTGAGGGTACTGGTGCTGTCTTTGCTGTTTCTGGAGGCGCTTCGCGGCCGAGGCCGTACTTCGTTCCGCTCCTGGAGCAGGTTCTTGGTCTCCTGCCCTCTACTGGTCCTGCTCCTCCCTTAGAGTGTCCACAGCCTGTCCAGTCCCAGTCACAGTTACAGCCCGCCTCCCCTCTACCTTGCTTCTTCTCCTTACACTGGTCCTACTGGAGGTCTTGCTGAGCGTCATGAGCCTGCGTCTCGTCCTGCGTCGCCTGTTCGTGCTGCTCGCACTAGTCGTCGTGCTACACGTCCGCGTCCTCCTGCGGTCCCCCGGCACACACCAAATGGCATTGCGTCCTTCCACTGCTCCTCTTCGTGTCCCTTTGCGGTCTCCTCCACACTCCTCTCTTCCTCTTGCTCACCGGGAGTCTGACTCCCTTCGTGCTGCTAGTCCTTCGGTCATGCGCCCCTTCTTGCTACTATTGTCACTGACCCTTCCTTTGAGTCCACTGCTGCGTCTGCCCCTAGTTGCTGAGCTTGTCAACTTCGCTGCTCGCTATCGTCTAGACTACGCTGCTAGTCTCGTTGCTGAGTCTGAGTCTGTCTGTCCTCCGTACCGTCGGGGGTGAGTGTGCTCTTAGCACGGACGTCCTTGAGGACAGGCAGGAGGAGTTCCAGTGCTTTGCTGCTGCTTTGCCCCATCTCGTGTCCACGCTGATTGCCCCTGAGGGAGACCCAGATGCACCAGACATCCCGACTCCTCGATCGTACGCTGAGGCGAATCGAGGGTCCCTACTCCTCTCAGTGGCAGTCGGCCATGGACGCAAAGATGGCTTCCTGGAAGCCCACAAGCACCTACGTTGACGAGGTTCCCCCACCTGGGGCGAACATCGTCAGTGGCATGTGGATCTTTAGGGTGAAGCGGCCGCCGGGTTCTCCGCCTGTCTTCAAGGCGCGTTACGTGGCTCGTGGCTTCAGTCAGCGGCAGGGAGTTGACTACTTTCATACCTTCTCTCCCAACCCGAAGATGACCACTCTTCGGGTGCTGCTACACATAGCTGCTCAGCGCGACTACGAGCTCACTCTCTTGACTTCAGCACAGCGTTCCTGCAGGGCAGCCTGCACGAGGAGATCTGGCTGCGCCACCCACCTGGCTTCACTAGGTCGTTTCCTCCTGGTACCCAGTCGAGCCTCCGGCGGCCAGTCTACGGTCTCCGCCAGGCGCCCGTGAGTGGCACGACACAGTGAGGACTACACTTGCTGCTCTTGGGTTTGCTCCTTCTACAGCCGACCCGTCGCTGTTTCTACGCACCGACACCTCTTTGTCGCCGTTCTACATCCTCGTGTACGTCGACGAATTGGTCTTTGCCACTAGCTGGACTCGCCCCACGTGAAGTCCCGAGCTGCAGAAGAGACACACGTGCACAGACCTGGGTGAACTGCGCTGCTACCTTGGCTTGCAGATCACCCGGGACAGAGCACACCGCACCATTACCCTGACTCAGTCACACATGGTGCAGCAGGTCCTTCAGCGCTTCGGCTTCACGTACTCCTCGCCTCAGGCCACTCCTCTGTCTACTCGCCACTCGCTCTCAGCTCTGCCTTCGGATGAGTCCGTAGAGCCGAGTGGCCCGTACCCAGAGCTTGTTGGCTGACCTCATGTACCTGATGACCTGCACACGACCTGACCTTGCATACCCTCTTAGCATCTTGGCACGCTATGTTACTCCTGGGAGACACCGACCAGAGCACATGGCTGCAGCGAAGAGGGTGTTGCGCTACGTGGTGCAGTACGTCGGGCATGGGGCTAGTGCTTGGAGGGCGGCGTCGAGTGGTCCTCACAGGTCACGCAGACGCTTCTTGGGCTGACGACCAGGCTCTGCAGCGGTTGTCACACGGTTACACCTTCAGCCTTGGCTTTGGCTCTGTTTCGTGGCGGTCTACCCGCTCGTCTTCTGTTCTCAGCTCCAGCTGTGAGCCTGAGATCTACGCAGGGGCCATGGCTGCACAGGAGCTACGCTTGGCTCACCTTCTTGCTGACTGACCTAGGAGAGCCGCCTCGTTCTCCTCCAGTTTTGTGCGTAGACAACAAGGCCATGGTGGCCTTGTGTCAGGAGCACAGACTGGAGCACAGAACGAAGCACATTGCTCTCCGCTACTTCCTGGCTCGTGAGCTGCAGCAGCGTGGTCAGCTCCGCCTCACCTACGTGGTCTCTAAGGCCAACAATGCTTATATCTTCACCAAGGCCCTTCGCCTTGTGATCATCAGCGCTTCTGTATTGTGGTAGGTCTTGTGCCTACTTGGCCTCACTTGCTCACTTCTTGTCCTTGCTTGTACAGTCCTCTTTCTATACCTGCACTTGCTTGTTTACCTTTATATAGGGTTTAGATCTTGCATGTGAACTGGCCTTGTGGCCTTGCTCTTGTGCTCGGACTGTGTGGTGACGTTGTGATCCACCCTGAGCTTGCTTTGCTTTGCTTGACTGGTCTTGTGACCCCTTGTTCTCCCCCACTTTGCCTATGGGGGTGTGTCAGGCATATATGCTATAGTTTGTGTAGGTTGTAGTGGGGCAGTTCATATGGGGTACAACGATTTAGGGTTTGCCACTTGTACTCCCCTTTCTGCTCAATGCATTCATTTCTCGTTTTACGTCACCCCAACCCACATCAATTAACCAACACTTTCATTCTCGGACATGGTATCACCTAGGTTAGGATCCTGTGGGATCCCGTTCCTCTCGTTCAC